ATATATATATATATATATATATATATATATATATATATATAATTATATATGTTGAATACATATATATATAAAATTATATATATTGAATTATAACACTTAAAATAATAATTATATAAGTATTATAATGTAAAAACATGTAATGCGACTTAATACAACATTACCTTGTATTTAATTACAATTTCTATTAAAGTTATAATTACATTGACTTTTTACCTATAATTGCAAAATATATATTCTCCATAGTATAATAAATATAATTTTAAATTATACAAGGTTGCATTATGCGTTGTATATTTTGTATCAAGTGATTTTTTATATTATATTAACTTTGTTAAAATTTCATAAAAAAAAGAGTGAATCTTAAATAGCTTTTCTATTACCTATTACTTTCTCCTTTGTGTCGTATGCCCGATATAAATTTAAAACTGGCACTCAAACCAAAGGGATGTTGTGTGTTAATGTTATCTACTGAAAAAATGCGCGGACACCGGTAGCGCAGTTCATGTTTGTGAACATAGAGGCGCTTCGCACACGAGAATTACGCAAGCCGACCTATGACCCTTCTCATTGTTTTCTGTGGCGGTGTACAAGTGTCGTGAAACAATAGAGGTTATATTTATTATTACAGAATTGGAAATTATATAAATTATAATAATGTCAAACAGGAAGCGTGAACATGAAGAGAGTGACGCGGAAGATGATTGGATCGGTCCGCTACCTTCGGAAGCTGCGCCACAGAAGAAACAACGAGGTAAATTTGATTTTCCACATGAATAGCTCACTAATAAATGCTCGTTAAAATCCATGGATATTTATCTATGTATTTTTTACGCGTGTATGTCCCTTTTACAGTTCTGGAGTACGAGCAGGTGTACATTGATAATCTGCCGTGCTGTGAGTGCTACGAGAAGTCTTACATGCATAGGGACGTCATTACTCATATTGTAGTAACAAAGTTAGTATCCCACGTAAGTAACAACGCATTGTCGCGCAAAAATCGTCGGTTGAAGAACTTATTCTCGACAGAATATGTTGATACAGGTCAGGCTTTGTGATAACAGCCAGTTGTGACGGACACGTCAAGTTTTGGAAGAAACAAGAGGAACTGATCGAATTTGTAAAACATTTCCGGGCACATCTGATGACGATACAATCAATATCCGCCAGTTGCAACGGCACTCATATGTGTTCGGTTAGCATAGACAAGACTATGAAAATCTTCGACGTCATTAATTTTGGTGAGTGCGATAGATTCACGTATCCGAACTTCGGATGCGACTTTTGACTTAATGCGTTTATAGAAGCAATTTAATTGGCAATTGTGTTGCAATTTAAGATATGATAAATATGATAAAACTGGACTTTGTACCGCTTTGTGCCGAGTGGATATATTCAGCCGGTGATGCGATCGCTGCGGTGGCAGTTTCCTCCCAGGACTCCAGCAAAATATACATCTACGATGGTCAGGGAACTAATACACCTCTGCGTGTAATCGAAAGATTACATACCAAACCAGTTACCATCATGAAAGTAAGAAGTCAGGACTGACTGATCACATGGCGTAAACCTGTCGCTCCCAGCAGGACGATCAAGTAACGCAATGATTCGTTTGCAGTACAATCCCGTCTACGAGACATGCATCTCCGTCGACAAGGCGGGCATATTGGAATACTGGACGGGCCCGAAAACGGGGTACAGATTTCCCAAGTGCATATCGTTCGAATCGAAGCTGGACACCGACTTGTTCGAGTTCGCTAAAAACAAGACTTACCCGTGCGGCTTAGCGGTGTCGCCGGACGGCAAACGATTCGCGTCGCTCAGCGGCGACAGGAAGGTCCGAGTCTTCAATTTCCGCACGGGAAAACTGTACAGAATATTCGACGAGACGCTCCAGAGGTTCACCGAGTTACAGAAGACTGTACTGCAGCTCCCGAACATGGAGTTTGGACGCAGGTGCGGCTTCTTCTCGCGCGATCGTATTTCTCTCTCAACGTATGAATGTTACATGTGTGCATTGCAGGTTGGCGGTCGAGAGGGAACTCGACAAAACCGAGATCAATCTGGGAAATATCATTTTCGACGAATCTGGTTACATTATCTTGTACTCGACGATGTTGGGCATCAAAATGGTGAATCTCTACACGAACCGTTGTATTAAAATCATGGGGAAGCCGGAAAACATACGGCCGATGCAGCTGGCACTGTTCCAGGTATTCGGTGTATTTTTCTCCAAACGAACGAACTACTCCGGGCGATAGGTGAAATCTGAATAATGTTAGTGATTCGGGACACGCTTGACTCAGTTGAAATGAAAAGTGCAAATCCGAAAAATGTTGATTGAAACTTCGAGGAATTCAGGGAGTACCTGTAATAACGATCAACACTCACGAATGGATAATATGTACAGGGAAAGGCGAGAAAGACGACCGCCGCGTTGACCGTCGAGATGGAGGCGTCCGAGAACCCGACGATAGAAATGAACCGTCCGGACCCGACGTTGTTCTGCACCGCTCACAAGAAGAATCGTTTCTACATGTTCACGAGACGCGAGCCGGAGGACACGAAGAGCCAGGAATGCGACCGGGACGTCTTCAACGAGAAACCGTCGAAGGAGGACATCATATCCTCCACCGAGACCACGAACATGCAGAAGATATACGACACCGCGATCATCCACACGGCGCTCGGCGACATCCATGTGAATCTCTTCGGCAAGGACGTTCCCAAGACCGTCGAGAACTTCTGCGTGCACGCGAAGAACGGCTATTACAACGGCCACATATTCCACCGAGTCATCAAGGGCTTCATGATACAGACGGGCGACCCCACCGGAACCGGCACCGGCGGCGAAAGCATATGGGGAGGCGAGTTCGAGGATGAATTCAGGCCGAACTTGAAGCACGACAGGCCGTACACCTTGAGCATGGCCAACGCGGGTGCGAATACGAACGGTAGCCAGTTCTTCATCACGCTGACGCCGACGGTGAGTCGACGACGTGTCGATTACGAGTGGAGAAGTTATTCTACGGATTTCCGTGAAGAACTCGATTCTGTCGGGCACGACTTTCAGGTCGCTCCTCTTCCCGAAGAAGCGAACCGAAATGTTCACGCCGGGAACAAATCCGCGGAGGACGCGGCGATAACTCGGTTTAGGCCAAGTTGAGCGTTTCTCCACCGTGAAAGTCTTAAATGTCCGGCGGCATTTTATTTGTTTCCTTTCTTTCTTCCGATGACTCGCCACTGAAACAAACCGGTCTCGATATGTATTATTGAATAAAGTTAGGCGAGCTGTCCAAGTATCGGCTTTGAAATCTTCACGAGAACTTTATCGGACAAGCCGGTAGGTAAAAATTGTACATTCGACATGACGCGAACACTTTTGCTTTCAGCCCTGGCTGGACAACAAGCACACCGTTTTCGGCCGGGTTCACAAGGGCATGGAGGTCGTGCAGAATATCAGTCAAGTGAAGACGAATCCGAAGACCGACAAGCCTTACGACGACATACGCATAGTCAGCGTAACTGTAAAATAGCTTTATAAAATAAACATTCCGCCGTGCTGTTTGTACAAAACGCTTCTCGATGCTCGCTGTCCGGCGATGCCCGCGATTCATTCATCTTTGCGCATCTGATACAAAACTCCCCGGACGAAATTGTATGTTCCGGTGCCGCAGGTGAACAAGTTCACGCTGAACAGGTTGTAATTCTTAGGCGTGATCACCAACGAGTATCTGAAATCGCGCGAATTCCACCAAGCTGTAGAAGTAAAACGGCGCTTTCGAATCAATTCGGAGCGAGCTTAGTGTTTCACCTGGACCATATAGCGCCTGTGATCATAAGGCTCGCGGTTTGACTGAGGGAAATCGTATCCGGGGGTCGATTGATGTCTCCTATGCCGGCGAACACCAGACCCCACTTGAACGTCGGCGCCCAGAAGAACACAGTGGTCGGGCCTGTGCGGATCGAAAGTGATCTTTCCTGCCCTGCGAGACTAATTCAGGACCTATACACGCTTCTCTCGCGAGATTACGGTGTCTTACCCGCAGGATGCAGAAACGCAGCGCGGAATCGCTCCGGCAGGAGCGCGGAGATCCGCAACATCAACGTCCGATAGGCGCTGCTTTTGCCGGGCAACGTCATCGTTTCGACGCCTTTCTCCGACTAACGGCAAGAAATATACGTTACAAACATGTAAATACGGCACAAAAACGATGAAAAGTGTAAAGCCTGTAACAAAGACTGCGTCAGGACGATAACTGAGATGAACGCATAACTGACGTTTCACAGTCGCTCTGCGAGCCGACGAGTCTTTCATTTTCTTTTCGCATGAAACTGCAGTTTCATCACGCGACGGTCTTTTGCTCAACAAAATATCCATCAGAGAGCACACTGAAGTTTCGGCGCGGTGTAATGTAAATTAACAGTGACGGTTAAATTAAAGTAAGATGGATTATCAGAGGGATGAATTGAAAAGGAGATAAGCGAAAGTACGGAACATCGGAGTTTGCGACCAAGTTGTAAAAAAATCGGTGGGAAATGGAAATAGTTTGCAGGAGGAGAAGCGAGAAAGTGCCGGGCTGGAACGACATGGAGGAGTTGAAGCATCTGATATGCAGTATCGACGAGCAGTGCGTATAAACGCCAAATTTCGACGAATCGCATTACAACTGGTTAAATGAACATTTTTATACGCGGAAGCGCGAGGACGCCTGCGACTTGTCTTCTCTCAAGCACAGTTTTGTCATAATTTTGTGAAGCAACGTACTGTTTGCAGCAAATGCCCGAGAGCCACGAGACCACCGTCGTGCAGCATAGTGCTGCCTCCGAGGATCGAGGAGTTCTCCTGCGAGCCTGCACCTCAAAGGCCACCGTGCGTCCCTCTGCCTCGATGTTGCCCGATAACACCTGGACCATGTTGCATTGATCTTTTGCCACCTCCAGCAACACCACCAGCAAGGTTACGACTTCCTGAACGAAGCCCGAAACCATGCTCTTATCGCAGTCCCTTACCTTGCAATCCGTACAAATGTGGAGCCGATTGACTTGAGATGAAATCCTGAAGAACGTGAAAATGATATACAAAAATGTCGATTATAAACGAGGTCCTAACTGGCTGATAAAGCTCGTAAAAATTAATGAAAGTTCGAATGAATGTTGAAAGAATGTGTTAGACAAGGTTTCTCCCGGAGGTAATGAATGCACAAATCACGTGGAATAAGAGACTCTACAGTTTCTACAGCTGAATAGAAACCAGATGAAAATCGGTGGCAAGAAATATCTGTGCTATCACGACTTTGATGCAAACATTCAGCAGCGTTAAGACTCGATTGAGACGACCGAGAGCGATTGGCTGAGTAGAAACCTCCTACAGGAATCTTCCTGCTCCTACAGCCAAATTTTTGTCCTCAGACAACGGAAAATTCAGCAGAGGAATTGTTTTCTTCCATCCTCGAAGCCGCAATTGTTTTATTTATCCTTCGAAAGTAATCATTACCATAATTGTAATTCTATATGTCGTTATCTTTTAATTTTTAAAATTGCATTTCTTAATAATAAACAAATAAATAAATTCCAAAAGAGACGGTCTCTCTCGGTGTCGTCTCGACGATCGAAATCCGCTTCAGAACTTGACGCGTTTGTTATATGCGTCGTCGAAGTCCATCCTCTTGTGTCGCTGAAGGCTCGGCTGATACCACGAGACGTCAACGCGCTTGTCGACGGCATCCCGATAGTTACGTGGCTTCTGCAGCTGGATCTTCTCAGTGGGGATCGACAGGAACACTTCCGCGGCCGGTGGCAAACTTTTCCCGCGCGATTGCTCGGTCTGCGACTTGCGGACCTTGAAAAACTCCCGCACCAAGAGGTAAACCAGCTCGATCACGCTCATGACGGAACCGCCGAGGCAGAGGCCGAAAATACCGCCGAAGGACGCTGAAACGTGCAACTTTGTTAAAAGAAAAAACAAATTGCAAATTCGAGGATACTTTTTTCTTTTTCTACGTGCTATTAATATGCAGCTAAAATTGAAAAGAGTTCCTGAGAAAATGGTTTGACAGATGAACTACCCTAACGATCGACTCACCGAGCAGTCCATCCCAACTGAGAATGCTCTCCTTGCGGTACTCGACGTACGAGATGTCGCCGAAGAATACGTACACTATCGATATGTTGTCCAGATCCAAGCCATGCCTGTGAAATACAGAACGCTTTCGCACGTTTCTATAAAAATAAGCCGAATAATCTCTCGTCGACGAGAAAGGAAATCCTCCGCGGAAAAGGTAAACGAACTCACGTTAATTCCGACTCGTATCCCACATTCACGTCCATCTTGACACCTTCCGCATCAATCGAGTACATGATATCGCTGCATTGAGGCAGACATCCTTTGCAAGTCTTTTTACTCGCCCTATCCTCTCCCGACAGCGATTCTAAATTTCGCAAAAGTATGCTGTATACGTAATTTTGTAGAAGATACAGTGAAATATTTTGCGTTGCAAACAATCCACCTTGATTTTTGTGTTATTTTAGCAATAGGGATACGTTAAAAAATATATTAAATAACATAAATATATTAAATTAATATATTCACCTTGTTAAAGTAACACAAATTTAGATAGGCAATTTATAATGCAAAGTTTTTACTGTGTATGCAACTGTAATGTAAGTAAGGTGAAAGTGCCGATTGCCTGATTTGACAGATTTGACAAATCGGTTGCGAGTTAAGTAAAAAATTACCGAAGTTACTTCACATTAAATTGGCACGTTTACCTTATGATATAATTAAATTATCCTACCTCGGCGAGCCAAGATGCAATCTACGTCGGTCAAGTAACACGTTCTTACTCCGATATCTGCCAACACACGGGAGACTTTAATGCGTCACAGTCATCAAGCCGACTCGACTGAAATTTCCGGTGGTGGATTCCCGTGAAAAGGGAACTCGCGTGAATCCATAGGATATAGGATGTTAAAAATCTATATAGGACTCGTTTTTTTTTTTTAATAGGAGAGAACTCGAAGATATCGCGTGTACTTTTAAAAATCACACAAGATTCGAATTTTCTCCTATACCGCGACAACAATAAAGAAACACCATTCCTTTATGTAAACGTGACGTCAACATCTTCCACGTGAATATTCGCAGTCTTCCAGTGACTTACGTGTTTCTGGGTAGTAAAACGGCAAACAGCCGCACTGGGTCTGGTAACTCTTGGCTATGCAATCGGACACACACGACTGGAAACTGTAATGCCCTTCACCTGGTATCTGCGGTTTCATCCGTCATATAAATACACAGGATCTCGAGTGTGTCTCGCAAGACTCACCGGGAATAAGATATATTGAGCAATATAATTCTTTCAAATATTATAAAAATGTCTTTAACATTTTTAAATATTAAAATGTCAAAGTTATTCATAACAATATCTATTCAATGTTTAAAACTACACATTAAAAAATATTACACGCTACTGAATATCATTGTACAATAATTGCAATAATTCTCGTCAGTGATTTTTTGTCCACTAGAATTTTACATGCGTATTGCTGCTATTTTTTTGGAGGGAGGGGGGGGGGGTTAGAACCAGAAGAAGGGGTAAGGCGAAAAAAATTNGGGGGGGGGGGTTAGAACCAGAAGAAGGTGTAAGGCGAAAAAAATTCATAATTTTAGTGGGATTTCTCTCGATGCAAACGTTGCGGCAAGCATGCGTCTACCTCGTTGTCGAACAAGCACAAACGCTTCTCCCGGGGGAGGTCGCGCATATTGTCCATGCTCTTGATGGAAGTGCCGGAAACAGATATCGCCAGGACGTGACTGGGCGGCACGGACGCGATTTGCGCACCGATGTCGGGAAAATCGATCGGGTCGTGTATGAGGATCGAGGCGCCCACGTAGGGCCGCACCGAGCCTTTGTAATTGTAACGATCGATATTTAAGGCGACCGCGAGTCCCATGTCGCGACCGCTTCCTGGAGCTTTCTACAGAGAAGCATTGAACTCACCAATTGCTCTTGAAAATGTTCACGATGACTTTTATCCTTGATCAATCTAATTGACAATTTAAAATTGCTATCAGTCTCAAGTACTGCCTGTCTTTTTAATCTTTATCTTCTTAACTTACTATCTTGCTAACGCAGATAAAAATTAAACTTTTCAATTGTTGTTGAACAAGTTACACAACTGAAAACTGCACGGAAAAAAGTTTGCTCGAGTTTGCCCGATAATAAATGAACCAAACCGCGTTTTAATCGAAAGAAAACAGAATTTCTGATTACAACAACCAAATTTGGTTAATAGAAACCACACATTACCAGAATCCTGCGCACACCCGGCTGGTACTCGAAAGTGACATTGAAATCGGTGGAATTCTCATGAACCTCCGGCTGATCGAGCTCGTCGTCATCGTATCTGTCGAGAATTATCAGGTGGTTTGCGTACGAAACGATCTCGGCGCTCGTGCGAGCGCCGAAGCGAGCGATAAATCTTCACGGAGATTACCTGTGCTTCAAGCCATGATGAAAGTTGAAGGCACAGCAAAAGCCCTCCTTCGACTTCACCTTCTTGAATATCTTGTCGCAGTCGTAAAGTTGCCCGAGCCAAGCGCATTTCACCAACAACGCGCTGCAGGGTTGCATTAACTGCCGATGATATCATCGCAGTTAATCCCACGAGTTTCTCGTTCTCGTATGATTATCAATCAGAGTAAACTGTATGAAGGACGATTACTTTGTTCATTAACATATCGACCGTCATGCCGAGTATTTCCAGGATGTTTTTCGCGGTGGTGTTGTCGATCAGAACCTTGTTCGGTCGCACCAGTCTCAAGAGAGAAGAGAAAAATCTCTCGGTCTCGTTCAGGGTGATTCCGTTCATCCATCTGTCGAATCAAGCGAAATTGTGTGTCGCGTGATGCACGATTAATCGGACGCGGAAAGCTTACAGCTTATAGCGAATTCGATCATCCTACATCAGATTTTACCAAAAGCCATTACAAGTCCAAATAAGTCCATATAAGTCCAAATACAATTGAATAATGTGACACACAATATCATTATTAAACGTTTAATCGTTCAAAATATTCATATGCTTATTCATACTGAGAGAAAAATATCTAATATTTCTAATTATAAACATCATAGTGAAAGAACTATAGGAGAAAGTCGGACAAAAGGAAGGAATTAAGAGAATCTCGATCCTTTTAATTTCTTGCCTCCCGATTGGATTACAAACTGCAATTGCTTTTGGACGGAGCAAACCGCTAGCAAACATCTCACGCTCACAGCTGTTTGGCGATAATATCGGCGTGCGGGCGATAAATTTTATTATTGTTGCACACGGTAACGGCCGGAAATGGCAGGTCCCATATCAGATTCGACGTGTCGATAGTGGTCGCTATCGGGTTCCTCGAATAATTCGCCCACAAGCGAAGCATGAGTACGACGCAGAAGGTGATGGCGGACACGCACACCTGCCGGACACATATATAAGAGTAACGTGTGTAAATCGTGTGTTTTCGATCTGCGAAATATTACAAAACACAGTCCGACGATACGCCGAGCTGAGACCACCGTAATGTTCTCACCATGGACCAAAGAGTACTTTCGAACACCGTCGAGCCGTCCACGGTTATATAACGAAAGCCGTGCAAACTCGTATTCTTGCAATAAACGTAAAACCATCCGTTCAAGTATTTCTTCACATTAAGCGTCAAGCATCTGTAATATCCTGCAACATCGTGACACACACCCATCTATATGAGAGATTAATCCGTTTATGGATGGAAAATGCACAACGGAGAGTTTCGTTATTACAATCCCTAAAATTCTTCGAGGAAAATCCAAACGAGGAGAATTAATGCTCCAAACGTGAGTGAGAGAATTCGCCCGAAGCGGGCGAGGAAGTCATACACTCTCGAATTCGAATTACTCGACTACTGCTCTGTTTTACGAATGGAATTTCACGCGGGCAGGACGAGCCGGTAATTAAATTTTCCTGAAGTCGCCTGGGGACCAGGCGAAAACTCGGTCGTACGAGCAGAAAGTTTACTAAAAACTACAAGTCCGTTAGCGTAACTGAATATTTTATTGCCTGGGAACCAGACGAAAACTCCGTCGTAGGAACAAAGAGATTCCCCATAGGAGATTTCTATAGTGAGAAAGAAATGCTTGGAAATATTTACAAATGAGATGTAAGGTTTGTTTTTCTACACGGAAAAAAAGATCGGTGGGACTCCGTAATCCTTCCCTCCGTGTGTAAAATAAACCTTACGTTCTACAAATAAATTTTCAAGCATTTCTCAGTGCACTCAGTCAATGGACTCTATTCAGTTGCAGGAGCCGAGTAATTTTTTTCGTGCGCTCGACGAAGCTCGGAGATCGAGTATTAACGGCGTATCCCTCACCGCGTTTCAGGTCTTCCAGTCTGGCCTTCTTGTCGCCGTGGCTTTTCATGTTTGCGACTTCGCCAAACAGTCATGTAACGCTACGCACGTGTGCCGGGAGAATCGCCGAATGAGACTGAACGTATATCGCAGGCCTATAATTTCTCTGACCGCAGGCGACCACTTTTTATTTCCCGTTCGGTCATTACCCGTCGTTCAATTTTCTACCAATATCCCTAAGTAGCTCGACGGGAGGGGCTTTCCAGCAATCGTTAAACCCTTCGAGCATTCGCTTACTCGCAAACTTCGATTACTCACCCGCGAAGGATGGCGTATTCATCCTGATAGCGCCGAGCTCTATAATTTCGGATTATTACTCGTCATACTTTGAGCTGGCTTTTCCCCGGGCTACTTTCCCCTAAGTAACGAGAAAAACTCCGCGTGGACGATACGTCTGGTTTCATTTAGATGAGTTTAAGAAATCAGCACTATAATCTCGTTTTGCTTTGTACTAACTTTTATTTGACAAATAAAAAGTATCCATTACAAATAATTGTAAACTGTATATCTTATACAGTACACGCACATCGTGATACGAATGAGTGTGTAGCGCTCTCTCTTTCTCTCTCCCATTTATGATCATGTTATACCTCGCATACTATTTCTCTTTCAACCCTGCCGCGATTCCGAAAGACCAGCTGTAATAACCGGCTTAATATATATCTGGCTACAATATTTTCTCCACGCACACGTTACTCGCACACGCATCTACGCATAAACACACACACTCTCTCTCTCTCTCTCTCTCTCTCTCTTTCTTTCGCTGCCATTCACACACGCGTGCTTGTGTGCCTCGTCGTAGTGAAACGGGTTACAATTAACAAGTGTGTGTTTGTGTGTGTATGTGTGTTATTGTTAGACGAAAAATGCATACACGCGGACGAAGCTTCGCGCGGAACAGTTTTGATTCGATTTATTCATTGCGGGGCATCGCACGCCTGTCTCTTAATAAAGGGGGGGAAACCGCGACTCCCACGTGGACTTTCCGCCGGGTCAAGGTGATTCCGCAAGACTGTTCACAGATCGACAGCCTCGACACACCTTCCTTGTCGCCGTCTGCGCCGAAATCGTTATCTAATCTAGATCGATCTAAAAAAAAAGAGAGTTCAAGAGAACAATCGGTAAAAACGATGCTACAAAATAAATGTATAATGCAAAACACAATTATACGCTCGCTGTGTTAAAAAAAAAAAAGGAACGAGAAACTCGCACATTCGGTACCTCATACTCCAATTCGAACAATGATAGAGGAATACAAAAAGGACGAAAAAAAAATCCACGATTTTGATCGAGAAAAGGGAAGAAAAGAAACAGAAGAAGCTTCGCGTCGCGAACGAGCGCGATTCCTCACTTCCGTGAACAGTCGGCCGAAATCCCGCCGCCCTGTGAGAATGTGGGAGATCTCTAAGGTCTACGAAGCCAGCCGTCGCGTGAATTCGCGCGTGAGAGCGCGCCGGCGAATCGATCGGAGCCGCATGGCGAATTGCGCGACAATTTCCGCCGAGTGGTCGTGCCTCTCTGGCGCGCCTCTTGTAAACCCTTCACGCAAGTCCACGGCGCGACGGCACGATCCTAAAGTGCGACAGACTGTCAAGTATCATGCCTACTACTGGTCGGTACGCGTCTGTTAGTGGACACCCTGCCGCGGCCAAGATGCTTTACAAATGCCCTTTGTAGGTACCCCGGGGTAAGGGGAGGCGACGGTTACTGACCAGACTATGTTTCGGGGATCGGAGGAGAGAGAGGAAAGGGCAATTTACGAATTAACTTTCGAAACCGACCATTCGGGTGGCAGGAAAAAGGATCGACGATATCAGGTGTACGGGCGGTCGTTTGTTCGTTCGTTCGTTCGTTCGTTCGTTCGTTCGTTCGCTCGCTCGCTCGCTCATTCGACGTATTACGTCGACACCATGCTCTCTCATCCACCGCGAGCTTGCACACGCTTTCAATACAGCCCGACGTATGTCGTGTCGACGACTCATGCCCGACCTCGCCCACGTCGATTAGACTTGAGTTTAAAGCGCTTCTTCGGACAGTGACTTCAAGTCGACGTTAATGAGATCGGGCATCGGTCCGGATCTACGTTAGACGTGGTAAGCTTCCAGTCTTTCGCTCTAGTCGTTAAACCGGTAGATTTTCAGCGAAACCAGTTTTCCCCAGCAATGCCAAAAGTCGTACCAGCGCTCGAGTCCTCGAAACTGCAACGTTTTCTGCTGAGAATTACGTTACGTTAATTTAGTGCTTGGAGCAAAAAGGCTAAAGGCCTGCTACGCACATCGTACGGACTTAGCTTGTTGCTCGAAGCAATAAAATATGAAGTAATTTCTGCCAAGAGTTGTGATGACGCTTGAATCTTGTGAATCGCGATGTCTGCGTGGCGTTCAACACCCTTTCCATTGGAAATTGCGTTACAATTTGATACTCGGAACAAAAAGCCGAAGGCTACACTTATTGTAGATCCGGACTTAATCTTCGGACGAGTATATTTGTGCGTGCGCTCGCCCAAGAATCAAATTAGCCGTTTAGTCTTTCTTCCCTTCCTAGTATCTCTTCTTCTTCTCCTTTCAAGGGCGGTTCCTTTGATCACGATCGCTCGGTCGGCCGTGTTGAGGAATATTATTTCTCTTTTTCAGTACAATCGCGTTAATTGCACTTGGATAATTATCTAAATCGGGCACTATTCGTCAATAAAGTGCACGATCGACCGAGCAACCTGGTGTGTGTGTGTGTGTGTGTGTCTCGGGATGGTTACGCGGTAGAAATACATGTATATTTACAGATCACGTTGTTTGTGTATGCTGAATCCGACCGTCTGGGAGACTCGGGTAGTGTTTTCGTACATCTTTTCATGTTCACACGGAGATTTCGGAATGAGGATTTTACACATCGACGAGGGCGATCACGAGATGAAACTGTTTCTCTCTCTTTTTTCCACTTTTTCTCGCCGCGATGCAACGCAGCGTCGTAGTCCGATGATTAATCTACATTGGGGTTTACCAGGATTCGCGCACGTTTCTCGTTAGTAAGGCTGTACAATATGATACAGAAAAGTAACTGTATATAGAGCGAGAGATGCGATCGGAAAAATGAACCGGAGACTGTGTTTGCATTCGCGCTCGTCAGGAAACAACGGATCGTTCACGCGACAGACGCCGATTTACTGATAGATTTTTTTTTTTACGTTGCTAATGCGACGGATTTCGTTGCAGATTCAGTTACGATTTCTTTCATTTTTCTTCCTCCTCTCTCCCTCCCTCTCTTTCTCTCTCCTATACTTTTTCGTCGTCACCTGGACTGACGATCATTCAGTAACGGTTCCCTCTTCGCCGATGGTGCCCCCTTAGCTTATGTTTCTTCGTTAATCCTAAGTATATTTTTTTTTTTACTCATTATCGCATATAACACTAAGAACACCGCTTATGCGTACGCTTATGGGGTGAAGGTATCATTAGTGCAGGATTCGGGTGGGATACAATAACGCAGAAAATATATATTCTTATCAATAATCGTACGGTAATAATAATAACTAAGAATAATGATCACTATAAAAGAGATAATAATGCAACAGCAGAAACGTTGTACGTGGCAATTGTGGAAGGAAGAAAGGGCGTTAATGTGTGTATGTATGTGTATGTGTGGTCTTATGTACAACTCTGATTTGTCCGTTTCCTTTCTTGCTACATATATTCGTCTAATAAAATCTTCTACCCCACTCCCTCTCTCTCTCTCTCTTTCTCACGTTTCTTCTCCCGCTCGCGGCGATCTCTCCGTTCGACACACTAAATCGCCCCTCGCGCTCGTTGCGCGTTTACCTTTAAGAAAGAAAAAGACCGAGGGACTGTAAGGTAGAGAGAGTGGCCTGTAAATGATTCGTATAAAAAAAGAAACGCAAACGGGAAGGAGTGTGCGTTGTCTCGGCGTTCGGGAGAGTCGTCGCTCGACGCGTGCTCTCGGTTTCAAATTGGCTCTCGCGCGCGCGCGCGCGCGTCTCAGTCGTCCCGTTGACACACACGCTTGTACGGCTGCGAAAATCAAGGCCACGTCGATCCCCGGTCTCGGCGAAAGGATTCTATCGTAGGTCGACGTGTCGTCTACGAGCGAAAACTCCACGGAGGAAGAGGAAAATCAAGGGAGAAAACTGAGGAAAAGGATGGGAAAAACACGTACGAGGCCTGTCGTAAAAATAGCGCGCGCTACTATTGCGGTAAAAAGGAAAAGGGGGAAAAAAAAGATCACTCTTTGGACTTCATTCAAGCGACAAATACAAAGTTTCCTTCGGGAATGCTAAACGTCGGGGAACACGGTTTGCCCGCCAGTTTGAAACCCCCTAAACTCCCCCCACCGTCGTGTGATTCGGACACGATGCACAAAAGAGAGTTTCTATTACTAGTGAAGAAAGGCCGACATTGAAAACGTTAGCGGTTCGATGCGCGTCGAGTCAGTTAGCTCTCCGCGGGATGCGATCGCGAACGACCGAGTATCCCTGAGGATGGTGTTGATGTTGATGGTGGTGGTCAGCTCGCCACACGCTCAAGACGGCTCACGTTCAGCATCGATCGCGAAAAAGCGTTTTGCTCTTCTCGGGAGAGGGTGATTCACGTGTGTGATGTGTGCGTATACAGATGGACCGTCGTCGTAGTCGTCGTCGTCGTCATCGTGTAGTCGCAGTCGTCCTTTTCGCGTGCGCGCACGCGCGCACTCGTTTCTGCGGGTGCATACATCGTGTACCATCGTGGTGCTTCAAGTTTCAGTCCCGCTCTTTTAGCGTTTATATACGTGTGTGTTTGCCCACAAAATATTTCTAGAGAAAAAAAAAACGTTACGAAAACGCATCTTTGGCTCCCCCCTCCCCCCGAATGCATCCTTCACCACGTCTTAGTAATGATCTGCATTCTCGTGAACGCTGGAACAGAAAGAACGAAAACGGGTCTTGATTAGCTCGTACATCGACATCTCGCCCCGGCGTCGGGGGGAGGGGGGGCAATATAAGCGAGGAAGTGAGTGGTGAGTGATTTAAGATATAACATACATTCGGTCTCGTTCGTACTAACGTTCCCAGAACATCGTCGTCGCAGTATGTTAATGCCTTTGGTATTTCTCATTAACACGTTGAGTGCCGCGTCGGTTTGCATTGTTTGCAAAGTGAGAGATACGGTGAACAGATACGCAACGTGCGTCTTTGTTCTCGTCTCGCCAGCCGTACTGAGTCGACTTTTAAAGCGACTTTTAAGCGCACTTTGATACGCAACTTAACGAAAACGCGGCCGAGTGTGACCGTCATGGCATTCTCAACGCGTCGGACGCAAACTCGTTTCACGGAGGGGGGTTAATTAAAAAATAAAGGCGCAGAATAAATGAGCAAGCGTTCGCGTGAACGGGGGCAGCTGACGCCGTCGCCGGGATCAAATGTGGGGGGAAAGAAGGCCTCAATTCGACGATGACTGGACGAATGTTACAAATACAAATACTCGGACACGGTCGCAATGATAAATGGCGGTTCGGTAAGGCTTAATTATACACATATTAGAGAATGGTACAGAGTCAATTGCGCAATCGAGTTACGTAAGTCGTCGCAGCGATAGCCCGCGATAGCCCCGGACGGCCGGTTAACGCAGCAACGGCCGAGATTACGACGCGATGTCGACAACGACGAGCGAACGGAGCGCAGCGGGATTGGTGTGTGTTAGTTCCAAAAGCCAGGTCTCGGGAAGCGACGTTCGTGAGCGCCTTTGTAGGATGATTAGTGATTCCTTGTTACATCGAAAGTAGAACAACAAAATCACTAGTCTTCCATACAACGGCGCTCGAATTTCCCCCTCACGCTGCTGGGCTAGAGGGGGTTCTCTCCTCCCTCTCTCCCTCTCTCTCCACAGCGCGTGTCCTCCTTCCGTCCGTCTCACTCTCTCCCTCCCCCTTTCTCTCTCTCTCTCTCTCTCTCTCTCTATAACTTTCGACACTCCTCCACCTTTGCGAGTGTTATATTGCCTCTTCGTTCGTTTGGTTAGTCGGATTGCGTGTTAGTTCTTCGGAGGTGAGATGAGATGAGTCGATGCGCGATCGGCGAGGTATGGAAGCGGAAAGTATTAACTGCGGCTGCCACGTAGGATTTGTTATCACGCAACGAGAAAACGGTAGAGGAGGCAGAGGCGCTCCAATCGATCGAACGGCGCATAAAATCGAAGGGTATCAACGCCAAATACACATGTACATATATATATATATATATATATTTGTTTGCAGGATAACACGCGCCGCGAATCAATTTGATTTTACATTTGCACGTCAGAACCGAGATTTGCGAGATCACGATCGTGTTTCCCCTCTTCCTGGTCTATATAACACAGTTATTTGTACGAACGCTGATACTCCCCTTCGATTTTATTAACAATTGCTCTTTTCCTGTACATCGCAGGTTTTCTTTTTTTTTTATGCGAAGCATAAAATCACGCCAAAGCAGCGCGGCAAACGATAAAACGACAAACGACACGGAGAGAGTACAATATCGTACAATTTAATGTAACAATATGCGCTTAAAACGTACGCGCTATGAATATTAACACCCACAGTGCGCGTGTGTAACCTTTCTACGATTTTAGCGGCGCATTTGTAACAGTGAGTACGTTCGATTCCCAGTTTTATCGGCGCAGTATGATGATGGGGGAGGGGGGAGGAGGGTTCAGAGTTAAACATGAGATGAGAAGCAGATGCGCAGCGAGTTTTTTCGAGTCAAGTCCACGGCAAAATGTAATATGCGTGCGTTACACGATAATTACCTCTGCTGCAGCAGGTACTGGGCCATTTGTATCTGACTTGGTATCCCGGTGATAGTAATGATACGATCGTTACTGCCGGGCAGCGGCTCGTCGATAGTTATGCCAGCACCGCTGTCGGACCTGATTTTTCGGATTCTCGCGCCGCCCTTGCCAATTATAGCTCCGGCCAACTATAAGCAGAGACGGGGCGATTTCTTGACTACTATTAATTCACGTGGTTTAGGGAGCAAATAAATTAAATACATCTAAGGCGGGAGGTAACGATGAAATAAAACGAACACGCTCCCGTAACGAAAGCTTTTACGCTGGGAGAGAAAAATGGCTAATAAAATTCATTAAAAGCGGTTGCCACGCGGTGGAAAATTTTGTGCAAATAACGGTACGTGAAAATTCGAGCGTCACTTTAACGAGTATGTTAAAAAGTAACATGTTTATAAGATATGCTAATTTAACGCATATACACGCACCCTCGAATATATTCCCATGTTTAAGATAACAAAGAAATTTCAGTGAATCGTGTTTACATACAAATTTTTACCGTGAAATATTGTTTAATGTTAATTAGTTACTTTTTGGCGTAAGCTCTAAATTATCTCTTTGTTGGTAACACTTATTTGTTACTCTTCGTGGTAACACTTATTACAAAGATTTCCCTTGACTATCATTCTTTCACTATGCGATCACAGTTACAAATACCAAACGCACGTTTCCCTCAGTGTCTCGAAAGAAGACAAGTTTCAAGTACGCACGATAAAAAATCTTATGTTGAAAATCTGATTAACACGGAAATTTTAACAAGGGCCGATTTTAACACTGAATATTTTTCACCGCGCAGGAAGTAGAGTTTAATCGACTCACGTCCTTAGGGATGGTGACTTGAGTGCTGGTTTTGTTTCCACCCATGTTGCCCTGGTTCCCTTGGTTGTTTCCACCCATCGGTGGACCGCCCATCCCCGCGTTACCACCGCCACCACCTAAGCCGTTGGGCGCGCCTCCTTGCATTCCCCATCCATCACCTGCGACAAAAGGAACATTAACGGACTCATATTTCACGCGCGCGCGCGCGTATTCCCGAATATTTCGCCGGCGTACGGCAACATCAACGTTGAACGTAAGTTGTCGTCGGTATCGTTAGTATCTCAAAACCCCGACGGTGTTTTGACATGTTCACGCTGGGTGTCACGTGCCGTGGCATAAAATACACCCCCCTCCCCCCGGAGCAAAATAGTCGTCGCACGATTGCAACCTCAATCGCGGCGAGGAACGTGTCTGTCGTCACCAAAGAAATCTCTAAATTCGCGACTGAGACGCCAAGGACGACTTTCATCGACTTCTGATTAATCTAACGGACAATTAATCGACCAAGAACCGCCGATGTGGAAAAAAAAAAACAGTTTGTGGTCGAAACGATTGAGGGGAAAAAAATCTCTTTCCAAACCTCTATTAAAAATCGCTACCGGTCAAATATCACCTGGTCCATTTCGTCGAACATACGCGGAATCGCTCATTTTTTTTGGCGACTCTGTTCCGAACGAAAATTCAACAAAATTGCGATACAGTTTCCCGAAAAATTACATTCGTCGCCCGAACAAAATATATTACGCAGCCAGAAATATCGTCGTTGAAAAATCATCCCGACGACTCGATGAAGAAGCCAGGCGCCGTGTAACGCTCGTAGGGATCATCGAGAGAGTTCAAATCGAAGTTTCACACACATCCGTACCATTATAATTCCCACCGCCGAAGGGTGGCGGTCCGCCGCGGTTTCCGCCGCCGTATCCACCACCGCCACCGCCGCCACCGCTGCTGCCGCCGCCGCCGCCGCTGCGGCCACCGTCGTAGCCACCGCCGCCGCCGCCGCCGCCACTGCCTCCTCCGCCGCTGCC